AAACATACTTTTAACTTGTGTGTGGTAGCCTGAGGCGGGAAGATGGACTCAGGGACAAAGGGCCATAAAGGGGGATGGGTGTGTGCGGGCTGCAAGATGTGAAATAAGATCAGGTTCGTACCGGACACTAAGAGGTGTCTGGTTTTCGTCAAACTAAAAGAGACTTTTGGTTTCCGGGTTTCTTCTGCTGTGTCGCACTGATTGGGGGCGACCAGGCCATGTGTTGGTCTCTCCCAATAAGATGACCTCTGGGGGAAATCACGCACACACCTCCTCCTGTGTTTTACTATGAAAGCCTGTGTTTTCCTTGGGTTCGACCTCTTTTTCTTCAGGCTGACCAGAGGGTAGGACAGGAGAAAGAGCAGGAAGTACTTCCTTTGTATTTGTATTGTTACCTTGTATAATTAAAACAAGATTATTGTTTAACTTGTATTCTGGTGTTTCTTAATCCCTTCCTTTGTACGAATTTACCCAGCTTACCAAACGACACGCGGAGACGAGGTTGGTTTTAAACATCTTCTAAATCTCCAACACTCGTGCATGTTGAGTCTGGATCTCTGGATCTGCTACGGTTACGGCTCTGAGTCCGCACGAGTCTGCAGGAAGTTTCACTGATCCGCGTCCCCTGAGCCAAACGATCATTTCTGGCAGCTATCCTACTTGCTAAAGGCAGATGGACTTTGGTACGTTGTAATGTGATTTTACATGTTATAAGGAGAGTAGCGAGTGGAGCAAGTTATAGATTTAATTTGTTTGCCACCAGGTGTAAGACTCAAAGGACTCGGGTTAACGGAGAGGGGAGACTCGTCACTCCCAGGTCATTACTAGGATCCGGGTTAATGATCCGGATGAATCAGGACTCAACCATTTCTACCCCCTATTGAAAATCTGAAATCAGATCGCTCAGTAATTCTGCAAAGCTGCGTGTGCATTAATGTTAGAATCCTGATAACAAAGATTTTACAGGGGAGTGAAGTGATATGTTTAACAACACAGTGGTTCATTTTTCTTTCATAAGACTGATCATGTCTAAGTTCAATCTATGGGCTTTTTATCGCACCATTATCATGTCCAACATTACACTTTTTACAAAGCCTGTTTTCATTATGAAACATTCCTCTACGGAGGACCCAGGCCACAGTCTTACAAGAAGAGGAGAAGATAGCAAGCATAGGAACAGAAGTCTTACCTTCATCTACTGAGACGTATATCTGGTTCTCCTCCATTTCAATCTGAGTAGAACCTGAGCCGTCACCTTTCTGAGATAGTAGAGGGAAGCACAGAGGGGAAAAACAGGCAGACAATGTATACAAAGTTATTTATATACTAGCTAGAAAATATGGGTACTTATGGCCTCAGTTAAAAATGATTAAGGCACTAACACATGTTATCATTTGGGTTTGGCTCTAACCTGAAACGTGCTGGGACAAAGTTTTTCGACCCACTCCACGCAATCATCTTTGAGCACAGCAAACACCATGGTCCTGTCCCGCGTCTCCACACAAAATGCTGACATGTTCTCCTGCAAACAGCACAGACAGTGGCTTTAAGGATGTATTTCAATAACACTGATACATGCAAACATTATACACCATCAGAGAGGCTGACCATGGGACAGGCCTCAGCGTTGGGGGGGAGTCTGAGGACACTGATCAGCGCGGACAGTTGGACCACCTTCAGCTTCCTGTCCCCATGAGGCTGGTGGTGTCTCCCGACACCAGCCACATGTTCGCCTCCAGCACCTGCAGGACAGACAATGTTCAAACAGACCCAGGATTACTATATTAACCTCTTAAGTACGAGGGTCCCCCCAGTGGACCCCCCCCACCGTTTTTTTACGAGACTATGTCTCAGGGCTTCTTAACATTTATGAAACTATTAATGTTCCATACCCTTTAACGATAAGAAACTCAGCTAACTAACAATACGAACCATTTTTAGCTAAAAGAAACACAAGAGTAATACCAAGCCTTTGAATTAGCATGGAGCGAAAAAATGCTAACTAATGCTAACGGACTTTTGCACAGCACTCACGGTAGCAATGTGCTTATTACTTATCGTCATTGCACAAACAAGATATCTGATTAAAGCTGAGACTCCACAGATTCCACACATGTAATGTCATCACTGTAGGACCCCGAATTGCGGAGCTATCAGCCAGAAAAGAGAAA